TCTTTTTCCTTTTTTTTGTATTTTTATTTTTTAATATAATATTATTATGTAACCAAAAGTAATTTCTCGTGAATAAATTAATTTTGATTGTATCTTTATCTTCTTACAAAGCTCTGAAGCCAATAGATTTCTTTTATTTTTTAATATGTTTGTAAATTTTTTCTACATCTTTTTTTTTTAAAAAGCATACTCTTGATTGTTGACATCGCGTCAAAACTCATTGTTTTTGAGAAAGACACATTTGATCGATAGAAAGTAAATGACAATGATAATAAAATGATGATGATAAAAGATGTATAGAAAAAGATTTTATAGAAACTCATGGAGTTATTTTTACCTGCTCTACATGCTCACGAGAGATTGCCCACCCTTATCGAATACCTTGTATATTTTACGATAGCAAAAAGAGATAACTCTGACAGCGAAATACTTTAATGAATTTAATAAAGATAATAAATTCTTAAAAACGATCAATTATATTTATAAAAATAGACTAGATGACAAAGAAAAAGCTATTAATTATATTGTTGAAAAATATGCGCGTCAAGATAGTATATTTAAAAGACTATGAAGCGTTATGCGAGTTTCTTACTACAAATGCATTAATTCCGCTCGTGCTGTTCCTCGCACGAGCACGTCAAAAATATAGTCGAGAGAAATTACAGCATCTCGCGCCAAATATCGACGATGCATTATTTATTAAAAGATGCCGGGATACGTGATCCGGATGTTAAAGGGCCCGGCATCATCCGTGAAACTTCCGGACCGTTTCGAGCACCATTCTCGAGGAATTTTTTGCTTAGTCGTGTACATTCTCACGACCACGCCGTCTCTCTTTTTCTTCTCCGCCACCCTCGCTTCCTCATAAAGCTTCGCCTCGGTGACTTCTTATCCTTACGCCTGCCTAAAGCCCACTTTACACTCCAGAAACTTTCTCGTAACCTTCCCGGCCGACGCGTCACGTAATCGCGTAATCCCGCCATCCGCGAAATTTGTTGCCGCCTTTATCACGCTGGCACGTACGTTTTCCGGAGAAATTTTATTTTCCGCCCTGTAATCGTCCATCGACGGTTTATACCCGGGCGATCGGAGCGCGATGGCTCAGGAATCTACTTTATAACGTCTCCCGCTGGAATGAAAGAGTTATAGCGTTATACATTCGATCCATAACTGTGGATAAAGCGTATAAAGGTAATGGCGCGTAATTACACGGATCGTTTAGCGTTAAAAATTGTCATTCGGCTTGGTGCGATTTACTTTGAGATGCCGGTTTGTTAGTTAGATTTCCTCGAGCTTTCAGAAGGAGGCGCAAGTCGGGCGATATCGTGCTCTCGTTAAATTGGCAGGAAGGCTCGCGATTACTCTGTCATCTCTCCGTGAATTTCGGTTTACATACATAAATGCGAAATGAACGTGTTTCGATCATTACGTACGCGTGAACATTAACTCTTAACTCTGGCCGGTCCGCGTCCCCTTTTGCAGTCTTAATGATATGCCGGGTGAATATTCATTTGCGGATTACTTTCATGCAAATTAACGGCGCCACTCCTCGAGCATCGATGGCGCTCGCGGGCGCGAAGTTCCGAAAGTCTTAAAATGAAGCAGTTTGCAAACTTGATACGAACCTAATTACTCCTCACCGGCTTTATCGTCAATAAAACATGGTATACGGCTGCACCGTAACTTCGATTTCGGCCGCTTTAATGAGTCGTAAAAGGTGTCGTTGCGCGAGCTGCGCGCCGACCCCCGGAAGATCGTTATACGTTTTTATTTAGCCCCCCCTTTTTTTTTCTCTCCCCCGAGAGGCTCCAGCTCTCGCGCTCGCGTATGTCGGCGCCGTAAAAATTTTAGCGGCCGCACGTAGCACGCGGCAGGCTAGAGAGGCGAACATCGAGGTGGCAATTAAGCACACGAGTGCTATCATTTAGCACCGACGCTTTATTCCCGTCCGGCAGATACGAGCACGAAAAACGGACGTGGACTAGGCTTGGCACGGGGGTAACTGTTTCCCGGCCATCATCGATCCCACGAAATCCGATATCGCGAAGCGAGACTGCTGGTGTTACACGGTAGATCGCGGGTTTCCTGCCTTCTGTGTTCGCGGATCGAGTCATGTAAGGTGATTCTCCGAGTAGCGCCGAGAATCAAGTCTGTATGAATAGAAATATGAAATTTCCAACCGCGAGGTATGTGACGGGAGGACAATGTCACAGCGGACTAGACGACGTGACTTGTCTCCGTCGCGCATTCGTAAATAGATAAAGGGAGACACAGGGCGGTAGCCTCGTATTTTGTGACACCCCTTGTGCGGAGATTTTAATTGTAAAGTGGAAGAGTAGCGTAGATTCGTTGCACAGTCGAGGAATAATTCAAAAGAATTGTATTCCAGTGCTCGTTAATACACCCTCGGATTTCTGAGGTAATCCTCCCTTTTTCTTAGTCGCACAATCGCATCTCGTTGTAATCTAGCTCATTCAGAATCGACGATGGATCGTGGTGGTCGTCCGTCAACATTCCCGTTGTAAACGCATCCATCGTTGCGTTGCCTTCATCAGAGATGCGCTCTTGGTTCGAGAGAACGAACGTGTAACTTGTTTTTTACTCACACATTCGCGCAGGATTGGAGGAGACTCGTGAAACATGAGATGCTCTCTTCCGCCGATAGGACCGTTTGCATCTTTTTGCATCGCGAATGAGATCCATTTTCGCAAGGTGTCGCAATGAGATTGTAATCTATACGTCTCGTCGAGTAGTCAGACGGTCGGAGACACCCCTTGAAATAGATCTACAATTTAAAAGCCGCTTAAAGCGGACGTAAGAGTCGTATCCTAAGATGTATGAGTGTGTGTTTTCGATTTACACGGTGTTTCAAAATCATCGTAACAATTTTATTTAGCTGTGGATTTTAAACTTGTACTTTTAAAATATTTAAGTGAATCAAATTTTAATATACTTTTGTTACAAAATATTAGATAAATTTTATTTTTAATAAAGATATTTTAAGTATAAGATGAAATATAAGATACATCTAGTAATATTGAAAATTAATAAATTGACAATATGAAAGTAATAAAAATAAATTGAGAATTAAAAATAATAGTGTACGAAATTGCTTCATCAAAAAAATTGATTGTATATTCAATAATGAATCAGTAAAGAAACGAGAAAGTTTTGGAGCATCTCGTAGGGCGAACATCAATCATTCCGGCTGATCCTCTTTTGCGGGAAGAGGGAAGTGAGAATTAGCTCTTCTTTCGCGGCGTCAACGCTTCGTTCGCTCGCACAAAAGTCGTTTTTCAATTAGGAAAAGATACACCGGCATCGTTCGCGGCGAAATTGATTCGATGTCGATGTGCGTGAAAGGTCACGTAACGGGATTGATGAGATTATTGGCTCGAGGGGCTCGCCATTTCAAGCCCTAATGCAACAAGTGAAAATATTTCTGTAAGTAAGGAAGGACGGTGTGTCGATCGGAAGAAAGAGCGATGATGCAGCTTTATTATTAAACGCAATTTTCGAGATCAATTTCTTCGCGTTCGTTGACCGACGAAATACGGCGTGTTAAACATTTCAATGACCACCCGAGGCTGCATTTGCTATTGAAAATTTAAAATTCACTTTAAAAATGCTATGGATACAATCAAGACGTTTCCATTTATATGCAGAATAGCAAAGATAGGTTTCGTTATTTATAATATAATTTAAATTAACAATGATGATTTGAAATATGCAATAGATATACATTGCAAATATATTTATGTCAAATACACAAGCATATTATATTCAAAAAAGAGTTTGATACACTTTGTACAAAAAAATTTTAGAAACGTTTTACAAATTTAAATAAAAATAAAGTACATAACATTTAATAGGGAAAAATTCAAAAAGCAAAAGCATTTTATATTTTGTATGTATAAGAATATTTTTTCTTTTTTAGCATTTTATCAAATATTTACTTTACATTTAGAAATATATGAAAAATATGGAAAATATTTTTATAGCTATTATATATTATAAATATGATATAATAATTTAATAATGTAATTTATTGCATAATTATAAAATAATATGATATCCATCCAAAATATATGTATGATCAAATATATACATAGAAATTATTAATTAAGTATTCGAATAAAGCATTTATTTCATAGATTCTTGTTTCACGAGATTATAATTTATTTTCTGCAATTTTTCTATAAAAGCAAGCTTTTAATTTTGTAATCAAATATATCTAGCATGAAAATATATCTAATATCTTTTTTTTATATTTTTCAAAATACGTTCTTTGAAAAACAGTAGCAAAAGCCTGCTTGCTCCATTTTATTCATATGGATTGTCATATCTGTAAAACTTTTTTGCCGAGATAAAAGACATTATTTAGACAAACAGTATACATTTTTAAATTGAATTATATTTTGAATTAAATGCTTGTTTTTTCAAGTTGTATAACGTTGTGTATACGTCAGCTGTTATCTGACTGTGGGCATGATACTTTATTTGCTAATTACCATGATATTGCGCAGATGTTGTTAGCGACAACGAGGACATTGTAGAAACTTAACATGGGCCATGGTCGGAACAGGTGACTATCCCCACACTGTTCCGATCGATAATTCACAATTAGGGTGGTCGGTATAGCCTTACCGGCCCTAATCTTCAAAAGGCCTCTCTCCGTGTAATAGTGTGATATCGAATAGCTTCAGCCTCGTTTCCTCCCTATTTCAGACTTGAAGACCACCATGAACCGTCCTTCAAATTGATAAAAGACGGAACGTTGTTCAAAGTTAGACTTTGTTGCATTTGCCGCCAATCATCCATGCATTAATCATAGATATAGGCTCTAGTCATCGAACGCAATTTTAATTTGTACTTCAAAATGAGTGAAAGATTTTTAATCCAAAGTTTCGTGTTGACTAGTACAATGGTATAAAATAATATTAACAATAAAATTATTTATCATTATATTTATTTAAACATATAATTCGTATTCTCCTCAGTTTCAGAATGAACGTAACGGAAATCGCTGCGATGAGCACCGTGGCAAGCGTCATTGGTGTCCACTCTGGAATAAGACTGAACAAGGCATTAAACGATGGCGTCACTTACGACCTCGATGACCTCGATGTTTCGCTGGTGACTTTGTCGTCGGCCTGGTCTAGAGTAGCTCGACTTTTGTTGTTGGCCTCTCTCGCCGTTGGCGGAACCGTGGGTAATGTCTTCATGATATCCGCCGTGGTAGTGGAAGATCAACTCAAGAAACGAGGTACGCTTGTAATTCTTTTTTCCCAATTATAGATAAAAATAATAAGCGAATGTAGAATTCATCATATATAGACAAAATAGAGCGACGTATAGAGAGGAGAAGCCTTTCTATATAAATATTGTATAAATTCGAGGTGGAAAATTAAAAAGGTAAAGGCGAGAGACATTAGAAAGGATTGAAAGAAGCAGGGAAAAGAGAACGGTAGGGAGCCAGTGGTACCTGAAAGAGAATACTCTCATCGACAAATGCAACGACAAAAGTTTTTACTCTATAGAAGTATATCCGACTAAAAGCCATCCTGGGGGTCGTACATTTCCGACATGCCTTGCGACAACGTTCTTTCGTATATATCGTCGCGGTAAGATCTCTTATCTTTTTTTGCGTCTCCACGGACAAAAGCGTCCTCCGTCTGTATCCGGCCGGGAAGGGACATAACAGCAAAGAACGACGTCGTCGGTACAATCTGTAGAGAAGATGGGATCTTCATCGTGCCATTATACCTGCGGCAATGACGAGATCGATTTTTCGTATTATTTGCAAACCGAATTTCTCTCTCGTTTCTCTCCTTTTCGCAGATACCCTGACGCGATAATAAATAATCCCTGTGTGGGAGGCGCCATGTATGTATACACATATATATCATACAATATCGTGTCTCTCCGCGCTCTGAGACCGACCCGAGATAATTATTATTTGCACGTGAATACTCCGCATAGAGCATAATAACAATGACTGTAGATGGGACACAAAGCAATGGGAGTGGAGCAAATGTAATTACATTGTCGCTTAAATGTATCGCTCTTCCTTCTCTATACATCTCCTTATCTTTATATTCAATTTAAATCCGTAAATTTAATTTGTCATAGAGAAATTAGGTCACGCTCGGAGAAACGATCTATCTATAAAATATAGACTTTACTTTAATATAGCCTTAGAATTCTTAATCTGAAGTATTCGCTGATAAATTCGTTAATGTATACAAAAATTCCGATATTGTTTTAAAAACGTTTCGAGGATAAAATAATTTGATAATTTTTTCTGTCTACATCTCTTCAGGAGGGTAAAGAGGGTGTTATAGAAGTCTCAAAGAGAATCTATAACTTGGCATATACACCAAGTAAAATATATGTATAAATGCCTTGTGCACGTCTTAAAAAAAAAAAATTTTTTTCGCGAATAATTAATGTTTGAAAAAAAAAAAAAATTACGCATTACCATCCGTGTTTTTAGGCTCTTATCGCACGTTTCATAATTATCATGTTGTTAAATACATAGAGCCGCATTCTTTATCAATTTATATAAAATAATTTGTTTAAAAAATTTTTTTAATATAAATAATTATAATTTTTAACAGTAAATATTTTTGTAAAGATTATTGTTTTAATATATACTTCATTTTTCTCCATCACATGCATACACACACTTGTACCAATTATAATTATCACCTGTGTGTATGTTTTTTAATTTACATTTATTAATATTTTTATAGTTTTTTGTAGTTATTTATTACATATACTTATATATCATGTATAAACTCTCTGGGAAGACTCGGTGTCCCAGAGCAGCGAATCAATTTTACTTTATCGTACTTTCTCTCTCTTTAAATGGACTTTTTTCTTCTCTTTTCTCTTTTTCCTCTTTTCCCTCTTCTTTTTCTTCTTCTTCTCAGCACTCCAATTTGTCGAGTTTCTCGGTTTTATAACTGTGTACCGTCACACACTGGCCAGCCTCGTAATTCTTATTGAAACGGCCCGAAACATTTTTACCGCTATTTTATTCCGCATGAATCTCGACAGTGGCGCAAATAATACCGACTTTCGTCCGTCTGAACTATTCACCGAGAAAAATCTCGTTTCGTTTTACTCGTTTTGCCAGCTATAAAGTTCTTTTAATGCGCAGTTTGCTGTGATGTGTCATCTCTCGATATACCGTGATGACAACGAGAAACTCGAGGTCATTATTATTGCGGTCATTATTAACGAGAATTAACCTCCGACTCTCGTTTGTGATTATTTCTCGATTTTATTTTTGCAAATATATCCGGAGTTGACATGACGAATGCAAATGCTGTCGGGAAGATGATGCTCTATAATCGTTTTCGCGTTCGATGCGAAAGTATACGCAAAAGTATGCTCAAAGTATGGTATAAAATATTGATATCGACCATGAATGAGGATACATGAGTCGTTATTCATTTTGAAACGCAGAGACGATGGAAATGTACGAATGTATTTTTACATTAACAGTCATCTGAAATGTCTTTGAGATATATCACTTGCTTATTTATTCTTTACGTTCGCACTCGTACATGTTTTATTAGTTAATACTTTGAAATAACGTAGCGATGAAAGAGAATACAAGTTATAAACTAGAGCTGTTGTCTCCTATTAGAGAGAAAACACATAATTCCCATTGAAAAATGGGAGATTTATTCAATTTTATTGACACAATAACATAATCATGTATATATTTAAATTTTAATTTAGTTTTTCATTTATGATCATAACGTAACGTTTTTTTTTCATTTTGAATTGCTTAATATTTAATTTAAATTTCTTTTTCAACATTCAATAATTTAACATTTAACATTTTTTCCCATATTTAATAATTATACGCTAAGAGATTTTTGCACAATTTTTCATCTTAAGCTAGTGTACCATAAATAAAAAACTTGAATTGTATAAAAGAAAAAGTTTTTCTCCTGCGAGAGAAAATATCTATTACTAGGAATTTTGTCGGGGCTACTATCAATTTACGCGAATGGGCAATAATACATAATACAGAAGCTTGGGTATGGATGGGACATCGTAGGACATCGAATAAGCTTGTAACGAGATTGAAGTTTTAATGTGCCGATCGCGCGCGCAATTTCGAACTTCACGATCGTCCCTTTCCAATAAATACGTCCGAACGTGACGCGACGGCAACTGGCCTGTCTGTAGCCGGAAATCCGGCCCTAGCACTAGCGATTCCTCCTTTTTCCGTGCAACCCCCCCGGCCGGGAGGGAGGAAGCCGTCTCCACCGGCGAGAGAGGATCGCGGGAAATGCTTTCGTAGATGTCCGTTCGTGCCTGACGTAAACCCCATTTCCACTGCGGACGTGAAGTGTCGGACGGACTTGGGCTTCGTTTGCGTGAACTCTGCCGGCGCGGCACAGAGAGAACTCGGTAGAAACAAAAAGCCCCCCGTACCGCAACCGGGGGGGTCCACCGTTACCGCGATGCCCGGTAACCCGAATGGCGCCGTAATGGATTGCGCAGTCGTGGGGTCCCTATAAGGGTGTACACGGATGAGCGAGTCAATTTCGCGGCGCATAGCCGCACGAGCGGGCCCGGTTGCCGTATAACTCCGCTCGCCTCGTATCTAATGCCGCAACGAGAGAACGCCGTTCTCTACATCTTCCATCTTCCCTCTCTTTCTGTCCCCCCCGCTCTCCCCCTGCCCCTCTCGTTCTTGTCTCATCTCGTCTCGTCTGTGGGTGCTCCCCCTTGGAAACCCCGATCACGGAGGCGGCCGAACGCGGTGAATCCACGCCGGTAATGCGAATACTTCGGGTACTCCGCGGTGCGGTTGGCGAATAGTTCGGTTCGGCGCTCGTGAAACGAGCGGAGCACAACGAGAGAGGAGATGTGGAACGAGGAGGGCCTGTGCGCGCGACGCGACGGGCTGACTCGGTAAATCGATTAAAACAAATTCTGATCAGCGCGGATTCATTCGGTACGTAGAAGAATACTCCGGACGGGGGGGAGGAGGAGGGAGGCTAGGGGGTGGTAGAGAGCACGTTCCCATGACGATGCTGCGGCACTGCGGCTAGACAGGGGACCCCCGGATGAGAGATGGAGATATAGAGGAGGATGAGATAGAGAGAATCAATTTCGAGGTGACGCCACGGAGCGCTGATGCGGGATAATTTATTCCACGCATCAACCGCTGAATCGATCGGATCTCGTCACGCCGAAACGTACCGCCGGAAAATGCGATCGGCGAATGCGGGCGGCGCGAATGCGACGACTGCAGAGCTTAATTCGCCGATATCCGAAGAGAGAAGGAGAGAGAAAGAGAGAGAAGAAACTTCCCTCCGTCCCTCGTCCCTCGTCCTCTCGAGCCTCGCGCCCTCGCCGACCCTCTCCCCCCCTCCCCCTCCCCCCCGAGTTTTCGTCTACCTAGCTCCGCCAGGGAGCTGATATTTCATCCTATTAACCGGCAGACGGAGGCGGTGGCGAAAAACCGTCGGCGCCTTCCCTCGCCCCGAAGAGAGCGCGGCGAGGACGGTGCAATTTGTCGCGTAATCATTTTTATCTCTCTCGCAGCGGTGTAATATCCTCGCCAAAGGCGCGAACACGTTTGCGGCCGCTGTGCGAGTCGCCGGCGCCGACGTGTTGATGCGATCGCGCGTTTTGCGCTTCCCGAAAAGCGACGAGTCCCAAGTAACCCCCGGTAAAAATGTCACTTTAGCTTTGGAGCGAGGGTGAAAATGTAATTTATTTTATCTGCTAGAGCGCGTTCCCAGAGGATATTCTTAATGTCGCGACGTTAGGATTATTAGCTCTTCAATCGGCGCGGTACAAAAGTACCGCTTAGAGCTCCGGATACAGAGCTCTGTTTTCGAAAACGAGGAGGACAAATGTTCGATATACGATCGACAAGAGTCTCTCGATATTAATTTGCGATATCGTTATTTTGCAAAGTTGATTAATATCGAAACGCGAATAAGCAGGGCGTGTCGTAATTGCAATGCAGTTTCCCTCGAGAAAATAAACACAAAAAATATATAAAAGAAAATAATATAATTATTCGAGAATCTCTCTACTGTGAAATATAATGCCATATTTTTATGTTTTAATGATAACAATGTAAAAGGCTGTTTTCGTACATGTTTGTTTTTATTCCACAGATTTTAGATTACTTTGCAAATGAATTATACCGCGCGTATGAAAATAGTGCACGCGTAAATAATACGTTACAGTTATACCAGGTACTTTAATGAGAGTGTCAATGTCGAGTAGTTTAGCGTGAAATTGATAAGTCGAGAAAAACGCCAAATTACACGTGTGAGCTGCAACGCTTAATGCGCCGCTTTGTCCGTAATTTATAGGTGTTGATGACTCCTTAAAAGTGCTTTCATGAGTTAATTAAACCGCGCGATTTAAAATCGCGACGCTCGGCTGCTCATAACTATACATACTTACGTGTTTTCTAAGTAATTTGAATACCTGATATCTACCGCATCGTTTTATATGTCGGCGCGGAGCATTATCCCATTGTACGCGGTATCTATTTACATAAGGAAACCATAGTTAATGAAAATTTGTCTTGTAAGGGTGAGCGAAGTTCTAGCTTCGCAACGCGAGTAGAACGGGGCAAAATGCGGCTGCGAGGATAATTATAATAATTGCTCCTCGTGCGCTCGCGAATGCATATGTATGCGACCTGGCGATTGACTAATGAAAACTTCATTTATTCTCGCCGTTGAGAAATATCGTAATACGGGCCCCTCTCTCTCTCTCTCGGTTTGACGGACGGATCGTTAAGCTCGGCGCGAAAGCTCGAGTGCCCTGGCGCGGAACGAAAAAAAAAGGAAAAGAAATGAATCTTATTATGCATTTTATTACTCACGGAGCGCAGTGCGAGCGAGCGTAACGGCATACGCTCGTTCCCTCGCGCAACCTTATTATAGCGTTATACTCCCCTAAGGACGTGCCGACGTACGGATATTATTTCCTTTTTCTTCGTGTGTCCTCGTCTCGGGTATTGATCTCGGGGAAATCCCCGAGAATCGAGGGAATATATCGCGTCGCGAGAGGGGCAGCGCGAGGTAATGCGGATATTACGCCCCTTTCTTTCCCCGACTTTCCGCAATTTGATATTTCGCTTAACCAGGCTCTCCATGTATGAACTTATGAAACGCTATAATCGTTGACTCGTAATAACAGCCGTGACCGCCGAGCTCAGCCTCGTTTCACTAGCTGTCGTCGGTGTCGAACGTTGCTACCGTCTGAACAAAGTTTTACAGCCGGCACGACCGCCGTTCGTTTCGGTCGACATCGTTCCGCAATTACTATGGCTTTTACGATTCGCCCGAGAAGAAGCCACGACCTCTGATATTATGCCCCTGTGGGCGTGCGTTGATTAAATGCAGAAGATTGAGACCGGGGTCTGCGCGGAAAATCAAGCGGTCCTTTAGCTTGCGGACCAAAGCTGCAAAAAAAAAGCCCAAGATTTTTCAGTCCGCGTAATATAATAGCTTGGCACAAGGGCACCCGATCGAAGGCTGGCACTTTTGCCAACGGAAGAGGAAGAGCGTCTTTGACGCTCTTGGCAGGACGGTCGAAATCCTGTCGTCGTTGTGCGCGATGGATCGGTATCTGTCCAACACGGTTACCCTGCGAATTTATATCACTATCCGGAATCCTCCTCGAACGGCATGCCGCGATCGATCGGAAACGGCGAAGCCTAACTTGGTGGATTACATTTTAGATTGTAGGTACTGCGACGTAACATTGCGATGATATGCTTTGTAAACACGTCCAAGAAGCCTCAAAAGACAAATGAAACCCCTAATTTACACGTATCAGCGCAATCTACTGTCCGGTCCGCCCACCTCCCGTCATGTGACAATCGTAGCATTAAGGTATTAAAGCTGATATAGAATTCCTCCCCCTTCCGCCAAGTTCCTCGCAATATACGAATATTCGCGAATAACGATAGAATTGGCGATATTCAAACCTGCTATCAAATTTTAATCATGATACATTGTTAAATTTCTTCAGGGAATGAATTTAAATTATCACCTGTCACTGATATATAGTCTGCTTTATGGAATAAAATTAAATTATTACCCGTCAATGATATATAATGTACTTGTACAGGAGAACTCTCGAAAAAATTATTTCAAATAAAATTTGTCTAAAATTTAATTTATCTATTAAATGAGTGGCTTATGTTTTTTTGAAAAGATTATAAATTTATATGAGAATAGCTGAAGGAAGGAAGGGCATATAATTTTAATAAATTAATATATTAACTCTCCTAATTTTATTATATAACCTACTAGCAACTCCAAGACATTTTTGTGGTACCTTTGCATTTATATTTACAAATAATTTCATATAATCGACCGTTTCTGCTAAATTGTTTCTATATATATATCAAAATCAAAGTCGTCTCTATTCGTCGAAAAATTTGCACCTCTGGAGTTGTGATACAAAATATGTATATGTCGTCGTAGCGGCGTTTATAAAGTGCAAAGGGTTAATACATCAACTTAATATATAATATAATATAATATATTATCTTAGTAGGTTTTTCCAGGCTCTTATACCACTTGCAAAACACACGACTAATGTATTAATTTAGACATTGTTTCGAACAAGTTTGTGATTAGCGTACGTGATAAGCCAACGTTATTCCAAGTAGGTGCATTTGCCAAGATTCTGCCCACGATGTGTAGTACGGGCGCAAAAAGCGCGGAACGCCGGCTCTCTCGAGCGTTTCCAGATCGCAAAAACTGTTAGAAGCTAATTACTTTAATGAGTTTCACACGTGGATTCTTTTTTCCAGGAAACGCATTCCTCGTGAACGTGGCGCTGGCGGATCTGCTGGTGACCGGACTGGTAATACCGGCCTCGGTGATTGTAATCCTGGCGGGCAGCGAAGAGTCCCTGGGTACCTGCCGATTTGAGTGGACCCTCGAGGCCCTTTGCTTTTTGGTGACCGTACTGACGTTGGCCGCAATCGCCTTCGAAAATTACGCACGTCTGTGTCTGCCCGAGAGGTATGTATGTGAGACATCCGCAGAGAGATCCGCGTAAAATCCGGGTGTTTCCGCAATTTAACGCGTCGACTGCCACGTGACATCACGGTCGTGTTTCATTTTCCCGTCTATTTTATCCCGAGGACCCTATTGTGGCTTTGTGATATTCGAGCGTGATATATATCATCGAAATCGAAAAGGCGAAAGGCCCTTTGAAAGAACAACTTAACTGTAGTTAAGTCTTTTATCTTTTTATATTTTGATTGTTTGCGTTTTCGATTACGTCTTCTCTCTCAAAATATTCTCTTGAAAGTTTCTCATCAGTTTATAAAAATATGAAATATATATGTTTGAATATTAATATTAATTCGTTAATATGTTTTTACATATTTTATATTTCTTCTTTTCATGTATATATGTAACGTTTTGTCATTAGATTTATTTCATGTATAGACTGTAATTTATACGTACAATGAATAATTGAGTTTTATTTAAATTGAAATTTTGAAAAATAATTTTTTTCAATTCAACCTGCCTTTTCTTCCAAATAATTTCTAAATTGCATATAAATATAAAGAAATGAAAAAAATTATACTTATAATATTGATAAATTTATAAATAATATCTTAATACATTAAATTAAATTAATTATTGTTTATATATAACTTGACATAATAATTATTAAAAAGAAAGTAAGTTTATATCATGCTTTTATGTGTCGCGTGATATATTTTTTGTACTACTAAAACAGTCGATGCATTGAATATAATGTTGAATTTAATGATATCATAATTTTATAATGTTATGGGGGAAAATGCAGATATCGCTTTCATAATGCGATGGTTACCCAATATTTCATATATTTATGGCTTTTCCGGACAATACGATTACAGTGTGTTGTAGTGCGAAAATGCAATTCTAAAGTAATGACACACATTGTGTCTCTGGCTCGGTACTATTTATATGCAAAACTCCAACTTTCTATGCAAATTCATTTGCTGCGACATTCCCATTTATGCATAGACGCAGTTCCGGATTAAAATGTTTCCTAGTTAGCTTTCGGTGAATACGTAATAATGTAATTTGTTGTTCGATCAACTAAACATATTAATTTAAATTATTATTATTCTCGCGTAATTCTTGTGTATATAATAATAATTTACATGATTTAATAGACACAAGGAACGTTCTCCTTTCACGAGAAACTTGGCTAAAACTAACGCACGTTTCTATTTCGCACGTTATCGATTATACTCGACAAATCCGATGTTGCAAAAACGATTCGCCGGGGAGTGAAAAGATTGATCAGTTTATTGCGAAAATAGTAGAAAATGGTGCTGACCTTTCGTTTGACCGTTGAAATGGCGCGAATCCAACTCTGGACATGTACAGTGACCCGGTGCCCGATCAATATTACAACCCTGTAACTGCCATCCTTCGGGGAGACGAGTCCGCTATTACCGTTATCGCGTCGTCTCATCCGGAATACTTCTTGTGTTTTTTTTTTTTTATTCTTCATCGAGGAGAGACTCGTCGTGGGCTCGCTCGCGCCCGTATGTCGACGGACGACGGGCGAAAGAGACGGCGAAACGCGTTGTCAGCGACGGAAACAGGGAGGATACCCCCCATTCGCCATCGAATTAAGTGCCGGGCGCTTCGTCGATCGAAAAGATATAGCACACGTGACCGGTGACGCGATCAATAGCCGCTACATTCCTGCGATTGTCGGCGCTTTTTGCTACCGCTCGTCTCATCGCGCTCGACTCCTTTTTCCCCCGCGTTTGGGGGAAGAGAAGGGCCCTTCAAAGCGTCGCCTTTAAACCCACGCGCTTTGTTTACGAGGTGGCGTTTGTCGGTTACTAATTGAGCGGTCCGTTTCCGGAACGACGCGACACATACACACACGAGCGTACTCGTTCTTGCCCACGGCCGTCACTCGCTCTGAGGGACGGATGGCCGAACTGATGTACTGCGGTGTAATCGTTAACAAAGTTTGTTATTTGTCCCGTAGGGTGGCATGAAAAATGGATCGAACCCCGGGGTGTCTCGATTTGTCGGGCCGCCGTAAAAACTAACAAACTCTCGCTCGCGCAAAGGCCGGGCAAAAAGGGTTCCTCTTTGGTTTGGTAGACAACGGGGGAAACGGGTTTTTTAACGCGAATTTTATCGGCTGGCTGCGGCTTTCGATAACTGAATAAAGAACTTTATAGTGTGTGACGCTGGCCGATTAATCAAACCGAGTCGTTTGATATATATATATATATATATATATATATATATATATATATATATAATCGGAAGTATTATTAATAACTCGTTTTCTTTTTTGCTACTATGTATATTTGTAAAAAATTTTACCGTCATTCGATAAGCTGGTATAAATGAATTTTTCAATTATTTATAAATTACTGTTTAATTTGAAGAAGCCTGACGTACACTTATACGTAAGACTCGAAATTATACGAGGAATCTATTCAAATCTGTTTGAAGGGCGAAAACGGAGCCTGGAGAAAAGATGAAAACAATTTTGCCCCGCATGCGATATCAGATCCAATATGTGAAGATGGAGTTAAATCCATTTACGATGAGCACGCAAACAAGCTACGAACTTCATCAAACTGCCGCGACTACCGACTAACAATTTGCCTTAATAAACACTTGCATTATCCTGCAGCAGGAGATTGTCTCCATTTCCATGTAAATAATTCACTTCGATCAAAGGCGAGGCTATCTGGTTCTTGCAGGCGGGTCTTCATTTGGCTCGGTCGTCGTAACGTATATACCAAAACCTGTGCTTGTAAAGCTCTTTGGTCCCCGGTGGCCTTACCGCCGTTCGCGACAATAGTGGCCCGAAAATTACGCCCGCTTGTGTTAACTGTTTGCCAGCCGAAAGATAAAGCGAGTGGTACAGGCGATTCCAGCAATCGATACCACGTTCCTGCAGTTCCCCACACATGCACATTCTTGTTCCGCCTCGGGGATGTTTTTGTCCTATGATATTTCCACCAGCGATTCTCTTTTTCCTTTTCCTTTTTCTCCTTTTCCCTTTTTCTCTAACGACAAATTTATATAACAAACTACGGGAAAGATATATGTAATAGCTTCCTTTTGTTTCAGGCCGTTTCTGTTGTAAAAATATCCCGCGAATTTTTCCCGCAAACGCCAAAGCTCGTATATAGCAATTTTTAAGAAAATGTGCCATTCATCTATCTTTCATATATTTATACGTATACGTATGACCCTGATATACTTAACGAGCAAGTGTTTCTAAGGCAACACCCTAAATACAGTGATAATATAGGCAAGTCGGGTCATCGTTCGAATCGAAGGTTGGAATTCCGGTGGGGATAATAAAGGGATGAAAATTATGCGACCGCGCCTGTTTACCCGCAAAAAAGGTGAAGCGCGTTCTGGATAGAGAAATCGATAATTCATAGCCCTATGTCCACGCGCATCGTGTTACTCGACTTATTTATTATTATGTAATACCTTGATACCTTTCTCGGATCAGCGAACGCATAAATATTTCGAGTTAATGGGCGCCCGCATACATTACAGGTAGATAACGTTATTAAAATTGGAAAGGGAGCTGTAACATTATAAAACGCATATGTACCTGCATATATCATTTTGCTCGTGGCACGAAAATATCTCGCGATGGTTAACAATGTTGGATGGATATGGGTAATGTAAACATAGTGAATGGGGTAGAAATCAAATTACTGTTATCAGTTTAAGCCATCGCGTATAATGGCGTATGGCGGCTACTGCTTGGAACTTTGAGTTTGATGCTGAAGTGCTTCCCCGGTTCTCTATCAGCGTCACGATCGAGTTCGTAATTTCGCATTCCGAGCGACGTTCTCTTTAGCTTGAATTGCCGGAATCCGTAACCGATAGCAGACGATCCCTAGGGAAACGACGACGACAACGACGACTACGTCGACGACGACGACGACGACGAGGAAAACGACTGCTGCTTTTCATACGCACGCGGAAAGTTTCGCGACAATACGGCGTTACGGGAAGTATTTTAACCGGTCGCGTCAGAAGAATCACGGCAAGCACGTGGACTCGAGGAAGTTTCCTCGCATTGTAAACGAGAAATCGTCTGCCAGCCCCGCTAACTCCGTAACTACCGACTCGTTTTTCAAGCCCCTCGTTAATCCACAGACTAGTACGACCAACTCCGTAATTGCAGTCGTAGTGTATCACTGGCGGAAATATTTTCTTTAATTGAATACGTCGTATAAGAAAGCTGGGACTTAAACAAGCTCGTGATGCAATTAAAGGGAGAATACCCATCCACGAGATAATGTATATTATTTTCTGTTATTTTCGCAAGATTTATACCAATCGTAATGATAGTCGAGTCGTGAGATGTTGATGCCTTGATGGTTTTCGTTTATATTCTTCTCAAATCATTTTAGTTAGATAATTGAATACATTTCTTTGTTATTTAATATTTGTAAAATCAAAGTTACACAAATTTATTTGCGAATAGATGAAGTATATTAATAGCTGTTAAACATTTATAAGATATTTTTGTTTTAATCATCAGCACTGAAAATTATACAAATACACGTACATTTTCTCGTGTTTATTTATTGATATTTTTTTTACGGCAATCTATATTAATAATAAATTTTAATCTTCTAGATACGTCAATGTAACGGCATGTCATGTAACATCCGTCATTGTTTCCCTCTGGTTGCTCGCCACAATTGCGGTAGTCTTACAATCAACCTTCGACGTGGGCCCCGACTTTTGTCGCCGCAGGCTGACTAGCATCGCGGTGGAACAAGCAGTGGGTGTGAGCTTGCTGGTCGGACTGCCCGTTTTGATAACGATTTTCTTCTACGTGAAGCTGGTGATTCACGTGCGACGTGTCACGCGGACGTACAAACCGCCGATTGCCTTCTCCTGGGACTATGAGCTTACCAAGACGAATATGTGCAGCTGCATCATGTTCACCGTGTTTTGGCTGCCGTTCGGCTTGGCAGTCTGCGTGAATTCCTTCAGGCCGGTCAGCGTCCGTGTACTCTACAACCTGGCCTGGTTCGCCTTATCCAAGTCCTGCTTCAACAATCTGCTCTATTGCATGGCGGATCGTCACTTTCGCAGCGCTTACATCAAGCTCTTTCACTATTGTTGTTGCAAGACCACGGTGAGCTTTTCAAGGAGACCGCGCGGCGGCGAGGGCGGCAGAAATTCCAGCGACGTGCGTCTCAGAGTGCACATTATTCACTCGTACGCGAGTCCATCGTCCTGTCGACCGGCTATAGCCAGACCGAACGGCCGTGACGTCTATGAGCTCTAGATGCGATGCAATGCACGTGCAGGACGTACAAAATAGGATGATAAAGGTATTCTTCATTGCATTTGTCCGGACTCACTTTGCTGCGTAATGAGAGTCCATTCTTGCGGCAATCATTGTGTCGACGCACAAATGACATCGCGCCGAGACTGTCTCCGATATGATCTTATAAGGAGAATTAATTGGTTTGTCTTTCTCGATTCTTACGGCTCGTTCTTCGATAACGGCTGAATTATTTTTGCGTTGAATCAAATTGAAATTCTTCCCGTTTTTGTAAGAATGTCAAGCACAAATTCTTTTTGAGACAGAAGTAATTAATTTCGCCATAATTGAAGATGTTGACGTTATTGCATAAATCTGGTTTAATAAGGATTATATATTATCTTCTGATTATATGCGTATTTTATGAACGTATTATTTTTTAATAACGCTATTCACGCAAAAACGCCATTATTTTTACGAGTATTGTTTTATCAAAAATAATGAAGACCTAAGCACAAAAACATCGGCACTAAGAATACATGACGTAATGATGTTTATAATGTTTAGCAATTATCGGCGTCCATTCGAGAAAAATTTCAAAATTATTGGGCTTAGGAAATAAATAATTGAAATGAAAAAACGCCCAATATTTTTGACGCTGATGACGAATAGTTGCCGTCCATTGGAAAAATGTTTCCTTAACTACGAGTTTATATTATAATCCTTAAAATCGTTAAAACTTGATGTCACATACATATATTTCCGATTTAGAACAAGATTTGTTTTTTGACTATTTATGTTTTTTGACTCTATATAGAAACGACATTCTAATCAGAAAGATATAGAAAACGTTCAGTTTGTACACTGATAACGGCATTTTTATTTCAATATTTTTAAACGCGGATATTCTATTGTAAAATTTTCTGGTATTTTTTTCACTTATTTTTTTTTATCGCGAAATATCGTCCATTCTTGGTAGAGAAGGGTAAAGCCTATTTCGCGAGATTCCATCTTGTAACAAGAGAGAGGAAAAGAACGCGAGTGTCTCACCCGCGACAGCATTTTATTTGGCTGCAAAACGAAACGCGAAATGCGGACGAGAGGGAAAATAAGGTTTTCCCAATCTCGATTAAATTTCTTGACGGAGCTTTACTGGCATCCCAGGAGGGAAGATGCCGGCCACGAAGTTATACGCGTACGTTGGTGGGGAGTAATTTAAGCTGGTTGTGCTATATAAGTTCGCTATGTGTGAGATTTAAGCTCAACGAACACACTCTAGTAACGCCGCGAACACCACATTACGAATTACAGCGGCTCCGCCGCAGTAAGTCGGCCGGTAGATGAAAATGCCGTAACGTTTAAGGAGGTACTTGGCGGCGCTCATCATTCCCCAAAGTTAATAACATTCCAGTAAGGAGGTGAAGTCAGGTGGATCGGATAAGGGCGATTCGATGATAAAGATGGCAATAATATTAGTTAAAACTTTTTAGTACTTTGCTCGTCTATCGGTTTTGACATTCGGCAGTTTAGTGAGATTTCTTCAAGAAAAAAGAAAGATAAGACAAGAGAGTTCTCTTCAGCCATTCATTATGCAAATCGCCAACGATCACGTGCGGGAAAAGTTCTTTCGATGAAGATCAAACGAGACTCCAACCAAGTGTGTTGCTTCATTGGCGAAAATGAAGAGATGAAATGGCTGAATGTTCTCTTGTAAGGGAATGAAACCAGTCTTAATAAACATTGTTCTGTGCGCCATAAGACTTACATAAAATCGCATATATAATCTATCCTTAGAATTCATTACTTGACAAATGTCTCCTCTCGTCTTCGTATTCAGATTGATTCACGGTTTGTTTCAAAGCAAGAAAAGTCTATAATACGCTGCCAATTTATTTAATTTTAAACTTACATATCGCACAAAATTTTATAATTAATTATATGTATTTTTTCCCTGAACATATCTTCTGCGAGCAATTGCTCTTCGTCATCAAAGTATTGAATATATCCTGAAAAAAAAAAAAAAACAATACACGATACGTTAGTGTCTATAATCTCATACACAGACATAACTGAGAGGCATGTGTGCGTATTCGGATTTGAAAAGTGGGACGAAATCTTACATTATATTGATGCAGAGAATGGATTTACGAGGAAAAATACGGGATTAACGCGAGATCGCTCTTGGAATGCACGACTCGATTGCCCCTGAAGCTTTCGCGTATTTCGTGTAATCGGTCGGTGAATATTGTCGTAGCAATTATTTTGGAAAACGACGCCATTCTTCAGGCCGGTTGGGCAATTCGTTACGTACCGCGCGGCGACGTGTTCGCTTTGCTGTGTCGCGTTTCCTCGGGAACAGACACTGTGTTTCAGGGACTGCGATTTATTTAGTAGCGTTTCATTGAAGGACACTCGCTCGCTCGCTCGCCAGTGACACTGGTATTTGCTTCACGAGAATGCGCTTTCTCCGTCCATACGCACGTACAGCTGCGATCGCGAATATCAGAGAGATTCGCGTTTGATGATACCTGCATCCGCGAAAAAGCTTCTTTGAGTAATTCGTTTCTTGAGTAACGTGTCTGAATTTTTGTCAATTTTTTTAACTTGTTTCTATGAAATTTTATGAAATTTTACGATTTATAACAGAGAAAGCATGCGATTGTCGTAAATAATAAAAAAAATTTGAATAGTAATTTATATTAAATTACAATAGAAAATTAATTTATCATTGCTATTAAAATAACATAATTGATTTTAATAAATGAAATTTTTAAAAGCATTAATAACTTTATTTGTATTTTTTTACAATAAATAAATATGTAAATTATGAGGGTACTGTTTCACATTACAAGAAAGGGAACTGTATCTTTAATTTCATTAAACAAAATAATGCGTTATACAATTCTAGATTTCATTATCTTTTTATACGAGAAATTACCAATAATATTATCAGATTTATCGTGTTGAACAAGTTTATTGTGTGTGTGTGCATTCTAGCAAATATCTTTTTAGATTACATTGTGCGTTTTTTGTTAAATGTTTTATATAAAGTATTTTTCACGATCGCAGCTTTGATTATTGCAAATCATGTATCTGAGCACATATCTCTGTCATGCTTTACATCTAAAAAATTATTGTGTTTGTATATATGCATATCTTAATATAATGAATAATCAAAATGCGCGTATGACACGCGTATATGTAAAATGGAGTATTAAAACGTATCGCTTTCTTATATAATATATTTCCATATCGTTTATGATAATTGATACGCAAGCTATGCACAAGCGTATGCAAATAATGTATATCCTAATTATATGATCCTTTAAAAAAAAATACAATTTAGCATATATAATTATACTCGAGAATATAAATAATTAAATACATGTGTAACTCAGATTTACTTTGTGTACATAAGAAAAAAAGAAAAAAAATAATCAAGTGATAAATCATGTACGTATCTAGAAATCATGTTACGTATATCGAACATGTATATCGAATTGATAACGCGCTATTACATGATCGATGCTTCGATCTTAGAAATGTAATGGGGCCATATATTTGTGACTGGCAAATAATAACGATGATCGCGTTACGAGTCGAATTTTTTTAGTCGCATATCGAAGAAGGTATAAAAATAAAAGACGGTGCCTCGCATGATATGAAACAATATCATTTATGATCTTCGTGGACCTAGGTTCAATCATATTTCTTCGAAAGAAATATGTATTTCTTTATTGTGACTCTATTATCCTATCTGATGAGTTATTTCTCCGGTGCTCGTCAACTTCTTTTATCGTAATAATAATTTTAAAGAGACTTGAACAAGTTTTTATTGTAAACGTTCGGAGATAGAGAATAGAATATAGAAAATAGTGACATATATATTCATTAACTATACAATTAAAGTAATAAATTTTGATATATAATGAAAATAACATGTTTTAAATAGTAATATTTGAAAATATTTAAATTGTTTATAAAATTTACATTGAATATTTATCAGGGAATTTTGTTTTACTATTTATTCTAATACAAAATAACACTTTTATGAAGTTCTACTATGATTATTTTGAAGAATGAGGCAAAAGAAAGACAATTAAAATAAAATTGTTAAATAAAAAATATTTTAGTCCTTTAGTATAGTTTTAAATAAACTATACTAAATAACTTTTATATCTGTTTAATTCAACGATAAGAATAAGAAACATAGATTTATTTTTAATGCAAACATTATGCAACGTATTTTTTTTTTGATAATTCGAACAAAAATATTCTAAAAATAAAAAATTAAAATTATAATAATGATATATAAAACTGGCAAAAATATTTTTTATATCAGTCAAATTCTAAGGTGAAGAATGTAATGTGCAGCATTATTATTTTTGAACTAGATTTTATTCGGCGGATTCAGATACAATTTTTAAACTAACAATAAGTAAAATTATTTTACGAATTGTGGACACAATTCTGTGAAGACTATTCTATATGAAACGGAATTAGGTTTCGAAAATTATTTTTATATATCTCACGAGAGATAAATTTTATATTAAAAATTAAGCATTTCGTTTCCGCAGGTATAAAATTTTTCCCTCTGATTTCGCCACCTGTATTTCTAGATTTGTACAAATAATTGCACACATATACATACATACATATGTATAACTTGTCTTATATATATGACTGTATTTATTAATTGAGAATTACTGCAATGGCGTATCTCTCGTGACTGTATATCTATAATGTCGTATTTTACACGCCTTCTGTCAATCTGTGATCAGACTTTTAGGTATGTAATAGTCGAGATTGTTTGAATAGTATGCGAGTATGTATTATATCATCAAATTTTGCACATTTTATCCGATTTAACTTGATTGTTCGTGATAATTCTCCCGCAGTATATGCACCTCGTAAAGGAAATTAAATATAGAAAGACGTCTTGTCAAATACGATGGAAACACTTTGATATTCTAAGTGACGATAATCGTCTTACAAAGTGCTAAGTTTGACTACTGATTCGCGGACGTTGTGTGCAAAATTTGAAATTGAAATTTAAGCGTCTTTCAAGACAGGAACTTTGATAAAACATCCGACGAATGGCCGCGCGTTGATCAATTATGCGGGGGAAGGGAGGGAGGAAAGGGGGACATTCGGCACGGGAGAGATTTTATTAAAAGTTCCGTCGCCGAAACTGAGTTTTCGGAAACGTGTGCAAGCGTTTGGGAATAAGTGCCGTTGACGATAATGCTTGAGAAATGGGACCAGGAACTAGTTTCTTGTGATTACACCTTTTTCCGGCTACTTTTATATCGTCCGTCTTTGTTCATTCTTCCGATAGTCGCAATAAGGATGCCATACTGTCTCTTACTGTGTTGTAATTTACGCGTTTGATCGAGGATTTCTATTACGGTACAGTTCCGTAAACGAATTTGCGAAGATAGGGAAAATTCATAGGCGCAATTAAATGATTTTAACGTCTAATAAAATGATTTTGCTTAAACAATTGTTTCGCGCATTTGCCTTAGTGTTAAGTCGCAAGTAAGCGCCTAAATAAATACCCTATGTATACGCAACGTGTGTTGTAACTTCAAAAATATACATATATGTATTCTCTGTGTATGTATATATACGATGCGCGCAAGACATAAAGCTGAATGTTGGTGAACGTTATCTTTATTGATACGAATATAAGAATATTGATGCTAAACGTGCCGAGTGTGTTAGCGAACGGGATCGATCGATAGGCACTGCATGCTTCTCGATAAATAGCCCCGTGATGCCATGATTATCATGCCATTATCGTAAAAGATTTATTAATCGAAAGTTAAAATTTATTATTTTATTCACTTTAATTCGTTAAACGAAAAAGTTTTCATGCTTTTCACACTGCATACTTTTGCGCTACGTTCTTAACGCGTTTAATACGGTAGCTTATGCAGTGTCCGTCCACGAAGTACTTTTTTCTACGAGAAAGATACAATGTATTCTTAGTTATAATATTGTATGACTCATATTAAATATATGATATAATTTAATATATTAATTATAAAATAATGATTAAAAAAAGTAAAATTCCTTCTGAGAGACAATGACAGTAAGTTTATAAAAGTGCGATTTATATTTAGAGAAATCTATGAGAGTTTTACTGTATTACATGAGAGAGGGCGATTGATTTTATTATCAATGAGCACAATAAATTATTTTTATTAGCGATTGAAAGAGCATGATTAATTTGCAATTGATAGTTACTCGCGCTTAATTTTATTCTCTGTATAACGAATGAGTTTTCGATAGATTGCGGGTGACATTTTGTAATATTCTAGCAACATTTATCTTATAATATAATAAACTTAATTATCAAGACTTGCTTGTATGCGATAAATATTGTGAATTTTATGTATCGAAGTAATTAAAAGAGATATTATGTCATTGATTTGCTACTGTAATTAGACTATCGATAAATGTCACTAATTACAATACGGAATACCATTGTAGAGAAATATTAGATGACGTTTAAAACATTTATGTTTCTGTCTCTGACTTGAATCAAACGCAGAACAAACTTATTCGGGCTAATTCGTTCTCGTCTGCGTAGTTGATTAGTGCATTAAATGGTAGTAGTAGAAGTGGTAAATTGTGTTATAGATGATAAATAGAGATATATGTTTTAGGCAGAGGGAGATGAAACATTCCTGATACACTTTTCTGCATAATTGTACTGCAAATAGTCGTATTGTTGAACGAAACGAACTGTGCTGCTTCGCAATTCTTCCGGTTGTCTCAATTCATTTCGAGGATTCGATTAATTCTGACGTGTTTCGCACAAGCTCGTCGGAGCAGATCCTCGTCATGGTGGGATGCGTGTTCTGATGGAGCCTCATTCTGACAAATTTGTATCAAGCGTCGGAAATAATTATATATATTGGAGCAAATAGGAGGCGATTATAGTGGATGCGCCGTGTGATTTAGGCCCCGTACTGTAATCATTCGGACGCATTTCATTATTATTGACGTTTTCGTGCAA